AGTATTATAAAAGTATTTGATTGTGTATGCATGCAATAAACCAAATAAATATGTAACCTTTAGATGTAGGATGGTCTTATAGAGTGTGTTACATCACACTTCCACAGCTACATCTCTGCCTGAATTTCTGAATCAACCTTAGAAAAAATGTCCAACAAGCTTGATTTCATGTCAAAGAAAGAAACTCTCACTGTTTCTAAGAGAGGTTTCATAGAAGACCCTGTAGGTAACTATTGCCTGAACTTGGCCTCATGCATGAAACTATCTGACTGTTATAAACTTCTATATCAAATAGATCCTTACGTAGATTCAATCTGTCTCTTCTTCTAAACAAAACCATGGAAAGACATAACTAGTCATAATTCCATCAGGTTGAACATCTGTAGGATTCTTTTCCTTATGGTTTTAGCTAATGAAAGGCCATAATAATAGTGAGATATAAAAATAGCTACAAAAATAACTTACCAAAATCTATTTGGGACAACTTTGGGAAAGAAAATGTACATCAACATGTCATATGAGCTCACCATCATTTGTTCTAACTGCAAAGTAAAGCTGTTTTGGTCTTTACTACACTTCTAAGCAGTTTTATACATAATTCATTGTTGTTTTTTTTCTGACAGAATCTTCAATTCCCTAAATGTTTCTCAATTCCCTCAATGTCCTTTTTCTCAATCTCTTTCAAGTACAATGTTTTCTCTCTATATTTTTAACTGCTAATTTATCTTCTTTTGTATTTTTTTTGTAACCGAGTATTTTTTAAAATGTAAGAATAAAACTGGTAATGATTGTAAAGCTGATAGTCATAAAGTAGAGCAGTATAACAAAACCCATAAAAATTGCTTCAACTTCAAATTCATTATATTTATGAGACTTAGTATTCTCCAGTTCTAAGTTTAAATTTTGTTTGTAGTTTTCCTGCTGTAGAGAGCTGCTGCAACATTCTTTAAAATTCTTTGGAACCTTTTATTTTTTTTTTTTAAGTAGTCTTTTAAATACTACTTTTGTTCCAATCAATAGCAATAGTTCTAGGGTACAGAACATCTGAAGGAAACACATTTGCAAAAAGCAAGAGGGTGGAACTGAACTTGGAAAGGACAGCAGAGCGGGAAAGATCATGCTCTTTAATATGTAAAAACATTTCATATCTCTTGGTTCATGTGGTTTGATGTAAACAAGCATTTTACCTTGCCTTTGGAACACAGAAGTATTATATGAGTTAAACAATCTGCATTTTAGAGAACAGCCTCAGAATAATAATTAAATGCAAACCCACCTATCACTAATTATAATGTCAACTGCTTTTTATATTTTAAAAATAATATGCCACTTCTGAAAAGCTGGGAACCAGTGGACAGTCATAGCTAAAAGGCTTACATGTGACATACAACTTTTGTTACCCTGCCTCCTTCTTTACTTTCTTTTGGACCTTATTTGTTTTTGGCAGTAAATAGGAAAGGAAACAACAACACATTATGCAAGATCAGTTATGCTGAACTATTCTGTAATTTAACTTTGAGAAACAATCTCTCAGTGAATGATCACAACAGCAAACAAACTTACATGGACAAACATTATCTGCTTAAACAGCTATGGCTGTGTACTGGAAATATGGCTTTGGTTTAAGGAGTTCATAACCTGTAGCCAAGTGGTAGAGATGGAAATTTTCATGGTTTAGAAATAATTTTATGCCTGCCCATCAATTTTTCTGTTATCTAGGCATGAATAATGAAACAGATTTTTGGAGAAATGGCTGTAAAGTGATCACTTCAAATTAATTTAGACCTTAGCAATCATTTGGTTCTTTCTGTATTTAAAGCCAGGGAAGATTAATTACGTTCTTAAAAGGCCATTTAATGCTAATGATGCTCCAAGCATTAAGAAACTTCTAAGTCCATCACATTCAAGCTTTCTTTTCAGTACTCATCAGTTTGAAAAAATAAACCTGTATGTTGCTGTCATAGATCACTAATTTGCTTTAATTAATATCAGTTTAATGAATATTACATTGAAAACAACATTGTAATGGTTGCAGGTCATGAAGTCCACTTTTAGTAATATATCTCCTTTTAACACTCAACAGTTACCACCTCCCAAAACATTAGATCAGGGGAAACACTGTTAAAACCAAACACTTTAGAATCAGATTTTATGGACAAATCCAAATTTGTCCATAAAATCTCTATAGATCTAGCATGGGTTTGTGGGCAGCATATCCCTCCTTCATTTCCTGTGTGTGTATGTATGATATCTACTCATGTGGCCTATGCAGGTAGAAATAAATAAACCCGAATAATGGATTTGTAATTTTTTTAAATGTAACAAAGTCTTTTTTTCTCCTTGTCCAATGACTGATTTTCAGTTCTGCAGAGAAGACAAGTATCACAGGACAAATCAATATTCTTTTTAAAAGAAAGATCCTTGTCCATGTTGCTGTACTTCCTTAGGTTTTGGGGTTGGTTGGTTGTTTTTTATAAGAAATTTTTGTTTCATTTTCTCTTTTTTGGAAATGCCCCTAATCAATTTTATGCCATTCACTTGAGTTTCTGATTAACAGGCATATCTGGAAATTTCTGGCAGTTCTGGATATACAGTAACATATTTCTACCTCAGTGGTACCAAAGAGATTAACTGTGAAATCCTCATTCTTGCCAGTAGTAGCATTCAGCACTGGGTACTAATGATGCAAACAGAAAGAGCCAACTGACTTATACAGTTACTATACAGAGCCGGAATGAAGTATATAATAAATACTCGATTGCTAATTTTTATAAATTCACAGTCATTCATTCATTGATTACATTAAATGGAGAAATACTTAGGTGTTTTTTGTTTGGGGTGTTTTTACCAGTATTTTCCCTTTCTCTCTCTCTCTTTCTCTCATTTCTTTTTTTCGTTTTAAGCCTCTGGGAGAAAATATATTGCTCTAATAAGTAGTCACTTAATAATTTACCACATCCTTCAAAATCTGATTTAGTGAGTTTATGCTTTCTGGAAAAAGTTAATTAATTACACTTAATTAGCTATCAATCTACATTTAAAGTTAGCTGCCATAAACACCATTTATATATATAACCAAAGACTTGACAAATAAATATCAGTGTAAAAAAACTTAATGAAGAAATTTTATCCCCATTAATATTTGAATATTTACAGGATAGCTAAACTGGTGTTTAATACAGCTATTCAAAACATATAGTGTAATCTAACTTCTCAGACTTTTAGTACAAAACAGTTATTTTGAATAAATACACATTTCTAAGTAAACTTTAAAACAATCATAATCTTTCAGCTCATAATATTTGAAAATACCTATTATTAGATGAAAGAACTTTTCAGTTAAAAATAATATGTAGTTGTGTGCTTACTCCTAATTTATTAATATAAAGGTTTAGTTAAATTCAATAAAATTATTTGGTCCAAAGAGGTAAAGGAAATAATTCCATAGTCAGATCAGGTTAACTTCTTTTGGTTTAACTTAACCTGCTCAGAGGCTCAGATCTCTGTTGAAAAATACACGTCAACCCAGATGATATGTTAATGACTGGACGTGTGCTTGGAAAACATAGAGAAGCAGCTCTTGAATGCTGCCATTACTGACAGCTCTCCCCCTAAGGAGGCACTTGTACTCCTCTGTAAATACCCTGCAAGGACTTACTAGTAAATGTAAACAGGCTAAGGATGACAAGAAGCAAAGAGATGCTGTGGCACCTTGTCCATGTACAGTCTCTGACTCACTGCATCCATGTGCTTGATGATCCTTTTGCAGACTCACTTGTTTCCTAGTAATTTTGTGTTGATGGTACATGCACTAGGACTCTGCTTTTTTAGAGTCCATGAAAAGGTCATTTAAGTGCGTCCACATGTCATTGCCTCAGAGAACACATAACTTCATAATGGAAGAGGTTTTATCCTATTTTCTCTTGTGTTTGAGCTAATTTTCTGGTACCACCGCTGTTAAGCACGACTTAAACATGAGTCAAGCGCCTGACACACCATATACTCTTGCTGCTTTTCCCAAGAGCCTGTTCTACCCTTCATCAAGAAAACACCTTTTTTGAGTGTCAGCTGCTCACAGATAGAGATAAAGGACACCATAATGAAATGTAACACAGTCTGTGACAGCTGCCATGAAAGCCAAAATGAGCAGTAGAGACGGAAAACTTTTTTTCTCCCCAGTTTGCCTTTGCAAGAGAAGGGAAGTGATTATACCAAGGCATAGAAGGCTCTCTCTGCTCAGAGACCACTGCTGAGAGATGTTCTCAGAGGCTGACTGGACTCCCTCCTGAGCATTCAACTCCACTCAGCAGAAGGTGATGGCATCAAAGTAATACAATTTTGCCACCTTGCCCCTTCCTCTCTTTATGCATCATCATTTTCCACACTCAGGGAAGCAGAAAGACAGCAATTATCTTTTCCTTATTTTTTTTTTTCCTCACAGCATTTGTGTTTGCTCAAAGCAAAAAGACAGAAAATATTAATTCTCTTCTGGAAAACTTGCAGAAGTGAAGGGAGCCTGTCTAGGTAAATATATTAGCTTCAAAAATGGAATCAAATGTCTTTCCTGATTTCCAGATGCAATCAGTTACAATACCTAAATCATGTTAGGACTTGCTACCCTTCTTTTCTTAAGTTTTCAGAAAGTCACTATTGAATAGGTGAACTCTATGTAGACACATGCCCAAGGGTGAGAACAGGACAGATATACATGTATCTGCCATAAAAGAACATAGCAAAGCTAATTAATACCTGTATTGTCTTTAAAACATTATCATTTAAAACATCACCTTAAATGAACACCAATCAATCAATCCCCTTGCACTTCTGAAGTCATTTGTATATACACAGCAATCTGCTGCAGAACAGTCTAGAATGGTATTTACCCCTTTTGCATCATTAATAGTTTATATTCTTGTCTTGTACTAATTAGCCAAATATAAGTTTGGTTGCCTTTTCTTTAATGCCTACATTTTTTGTAGGTTAAAATCCGCTTTACTTACCACCAAAGATTTATTGAGAAGGCACATGTTTGCAGAGTGGTTTCACAGGAGACAGTATCCTTCATGGTTTTCCTTTCATTAGAATATGAAGATTTATCATGCTCTGTCCCACCATAATAAGGAAATATATCCCTTATGGGTTTATAAATTTATGAAACTTTTTAAGTTTATAAGTCACATTCTTGCTTAAAATGATCGTAAAGTATCACTGGCATTCAGACATTTTAAAAAAATCAACAAACGTTATCAAACACGTCTGATGTGACAAGACAAAATACCTTGGTTTGCTCTCTTGTGTGCTGAGACTACTTTCCATGGGTGACCAAATATCAGATGTATCTTGATGTGAAGGTCTTGTACTTTGGAGGGGTGGCCCTCTGTGCCAGGCTCTGCAATCTAAGTCTTTGTGGGTATCTGTAGAGAAGGCAAAAGCTGCTAGAAATCTTTCAGCCCATTTTACTTCTCAAAAGAGGAAGTACACATTAAATTAATTAACTTAATTCGTTAAATTTACAGTAATAGGGAATTAATGAAGTCAATTACAAACATTATAATGATTAAATCACTTATGACGAGAACAGCAGAAATAGAGTTCCAATATGAGAATTTTGCTCTATAAATCATCCTTTTAGCTGTAGTGAGAGGAAGGGGTTCATGACCTGACCTTGATTGTGGGGGCATTTTCTTCCACAATGATGAGAAAAATTTGAGTGCCCATGTCTTTTCTCCTTTCTTTCTTCTTTTGTCTTTTAAAGTTTTCTTACGAATTAGGAACTATGCTTTGATTTATTTCCTCTCACACTGTTTACTAACACCAGGTTAGCTGCCAAAAATTTGTGCCATATATTTTGCTCAAAGTGAATGCAACACTGCTGTGAATCAAGAAGATAGAGATAATACTTTGGAAAACAACAGGATCTTTTGGTTTTCCTACTGCATAAGTTAATCTCAACTTTTAGGTTACATGTCAGGTTATGTAAGTATATGTTTAGGTTGTAAGTATATACATATGTAATATATACTTACAATATGTGAATTACTATACTAACTAAAGTGGTCTGTACTTAGAATTCTATACTTTGGCACATGAGTTTTCCCAATTCACTTCACTAAAGTTTTCTTTAATTTCTTATACTCTTTATGTAAGGTGTAATTGAATGTTAAGGAGCATGCCATACGTCTCTAATGCTGAATTTAAGAAAAAAAATAAGATGTCCTGTAAATTTTCTTCTGTCTCTTGCAAGAAAGACCTCATAAAATTGAAATTATTGTATTTTATAACAAACCCTGATTATCTTTAAAAAACCTTGAGTTTTAGACACATTAAAAATGTTTGCAATCCAGCTGTAGTATTTATCTAAATAGGATTTTATTACTGTGACTTTGCTTGCAGAATTTTAAATATACTAGATCCTCATTCTACTTAGCAGCCTTTAAATGGAGCTTAGTATAAATAGCAATGGTGAAATGACAATTTTGTTGCTACCACATCAGGTGATACATCTAGAAAGAAGCACTCATGGTGAGCTAATGATGTGAAAACATTTCTCTGTTACTACACACAAGGGCTTCAAGTCCACATGAAGTCATATTGTTAAAGCAGCAGTATCTGGCATTCTCAAACAGACATCTCAGGAACTGTCTGAAGTAACTGCAGCCTTCTACCTTCCCAATGGAACTTTGTCATCATAAAGAGGCTGTACTGACTCCAACAGTCAAGGACAGACCCTCAGCTGCTCACAGCTGAGCTGAGAGCCATTCAACAGAGTAAGCCATCGAAGTATAATGTCCAAGTTAAACTCCAGGTAGAGGGTAAACGTGGCTTTCTCAGTAATGGAGACGTAATGCTTTAGGATTCCTTCCTCTGTGCAGAAAACTACAGTGTAAGAGTGACCTCTACAGGATTTCCACAGTGCTCCAAGACTGCAGTCCCAGGGACTGTCTTTAGAACATTTTCAAATGTATTTATTTGAAAACAGAAGATAAACTGCAACATACAAACCAACACTGCCTCCAAGTATCAGCCTGAAATCAGCAACAATCTGAATTTACAGCTCGTAAACACAGATTTGCAGTAGGTTTCTAGATATGAAAACTATATAAGGACTCACTTAAAATATTCAGCTGATTCAAAGGAGGTTTCAAGAATCATTGGGTTTCATTTGGAAGGGGCCTTAAAGATCATCTAGTCCCAACCTCACTGCCATGGACAGGAAAAACTACCACAGGTTGTCCAAAGTCCCATCCAACCTTGCTTTGAATACTTCTAGGCATCTACAACTTCTCTGGGTGACCTGTGCCATAAAAGTACAATTTGTACCATTTTTTTCTCTCCTTTTTTAATGAGCATTCCACTGTTAGTGGACAAACTGTTGTCTTTCTCTGTCATCTTCTTTATAAACTGCCTCTTCTTTGTTCTATTAGTTTATTTTTATGCTTAAAGACTCAGTCCATTTGTCTTCTGTACACTTTCCATCATGCTTAAATGAAATAAAATTATGACATAAGTGAAAGATGGAGGCACACGTGAATAGCATGAAAATGTTCTTCCACAACAATTTTTACTCAGACAACTGAAAGTTGCTTGTGGCTGCTGGGAAAAATAAACCAAGCAAACAAAACACAGAGTGTGACTAGGGCTTAGGTTATCTTTTAAAATGCTTTATTGGCTAGGAAGTAGTAAAGAAGGAGTAATTTTTTGTTAAAAAAAAAACTTGGGCCCTGTTGTAACTCATAAGAATCCATAACAGCCCACAGTCACTCTGTGAAAAGATTTGCATTCTACCTCACGTGTTAACAGTAGTGTAGTCAAGCAAACTACACCCAGAAACATCAGAAATAACTACTCTACTTAAATCAGCATGAGCTGTAAGTATTGCCAACTTCAGCCTCAGGCAATGCATTTCAAAAAGAACCTTAGACAGCTGGTAAACCTTCTAGTCCTCCTTTCAAGAGATAAATAATGTTTCTCATTCTCTCTTCTTCACTTTTTTAAAATTTATTCTTTTGTAAATTCTAGTATTAGTCTTTTTTAGACTAATAATATAACAGAATATAGTTCATTAGACTACATTAAAGAGTAAAATGTTAAGCTAACTTATCTTTGAGAACTTATTTGGCATAGACTACCATATAGATGGATTGATAATCTTAATAAAGTCTACCTCTTTCTATTGTATCTGGAAATAATGTGTGGTGATGTATAATTTGATGTTCAGTTTCCATTTCTACTTTCATATATATATATATATATATAGTTTACATCATCATATGCACTATTCATAAAGGCAGACAACATCTGCTAGTAAGGTAAAAAATGCTGTGAAAGCCCTGGATTTTACTACAATTTACATCATGCAAACAGCTGATGTGCTACAGAGCTGTAACACACAGGCTCTCTATTGAGTCTTAAGGAGATATTTATGTGGATACTTATGTGGAAGACACATCCATGTGTGGATGAACATTACCCAGTGAAACTCTTCATCCATATTCTTGTGGAAGTGGCTCTCAGTGATTCCATTACTTACCAGTACCGATTACCTGTATCAATTGTGCAAATGTCCCAGTGATGAAAAAGCGTTTAGGATTCTAGAGAAAAATTGCTATTTGGCATTGTGTTTCAGAAACTCAGAGTGAAATACAGAATGGCTGGAATGCTGGAGAGAGATCTTAATCTGTAACTCACCAAATGGTAATGCAAAGTAGACATCTAGTAAGATCTCGTGTGAAGTTGGTGTTTTTGTGCCTTGAATCTCACTTCCATTTTTTATTACTTCAGAATGCAATGTCCACCAGGAACCTGGGCCTTCCTAGGAAAAAGAAGTTATGAAAATTACCTGGGCAGGATTTATTGGATTATCCAATTTTAATGGATGAGGTTTCCCCTGAGTCAATAGGAGTTTCTTTGTAATAACAGTATGTTTAGATATCCATTCTAGACTCTTCCAACTTTTGTTTATGTAAGTATTAATTAGGACTTCATCAAGTTTTCTCACAGTCATTGAATTCAAAATAATATAACATTTGCTCTACAATAGAGATGAATACACATTAAGGTTGTCAGATGATTAAGACACAAGAAGTATGAATATTGAAAATTACACTTATCAACTCAGATTTTCCAGTTTCCCTTTGAACTGGTGCCAAAGAAGTACATTGTAGAAAGACTGAAACAATCCATATAAACTAATAACAAAGCCAAAAAAACTTGTTTCTGAAGTAATGCTCCCTTATAGTTTATTTCTGAGCTATAAAGCCCAGAACAGAACTGTGGGGTTAAAACAAGCAGTATTACTAGGAAATTTCCGCAGTGGATTAATTATAAATGAAGGTTTAGAGGATCTGAAGAAATTAATAAAAAGTCCCTTATCTTTCATCTGTGTTTGTTTAAAGTTTCAATATTTACTAGTAAGCCACAACCTCTGTGTCAGCAAGTTGTAACTCAACAACAGCCAGGGCAGCAGAGCAGAACCACTTGCCTTGGGGCTGGAAATGGCACTTGGCAGCTGTGATACAGAGCAACTTCGAATTTAAGCAGGAACTACTTTGTTCCTCTGCTTCCATTTTCTGAGTAGAATCACTGAAATATCAGTTCAATGTATATATGAATATTTATTACTTCCTGTAAAGAAATTGCTATAGGGTCTGATGAGAGATACTGTAGGAAGTTGTTTTCTGATTTTCTCTCCTTCAATTGCCTTTTTGATGTTTTAGAAAAATTAAAGAAGGCAAAAAATTTTTCAAAGATTAAATTAATCTTCTGTCATTCAGAGCTACTTTAAAAACAGACTCCATGGACTATGTGTAGCAGAGCATATTCATGGATGGGAGAATTGTGGAATATTAGAATGAGGTAACTCTTTATGTTTTCTGAATTCAGAAAATTTTGCAGCACAGGCAGTTTGTTTCTGTATTTCCACGGTCCCAGAAACCTTTTCTCCTTATTTGATATCCTACTGAGGGTAAGTATGCTCACTCTGGTGGCCAACTTACTATGCTGGATACACAACTTTTGGTATTGACCCAATTTCTCCACTCATCCTTCTCTGTGCACTCTAGAATTTCTTCTGTAGTTCCACAAGGCAAATTTCAGCTTTTCTCTCTGAGCCAGTGGCCAATTCCCTTGAGAGAGAGAACAACAGTATTTTGCCCACTTTAGTAGAGATTTACCCAAAGTCACACAATGAAGAGCCAGGCCTGGAAAGTTAATCTAAAACTCTTTCACTTTAACCATATAAACCAAACCACCCCTGCCTCCCTAACAGTTCATGAGAGCAGATGAACTAACTCACTCCCTGTAGAATACCTGGCTCAGTATCTGAGCCATTTCTCCAGGATATATGGATAATGCATTTCAGTTGTCACTTTAAGAGTCACATGTACATTATGCCTCACCACTGCAGATTGGAGCAAAGGAGATAGAAGTATACACTGATCATAAATGTCCTTACAGTATTTGGGGAGATTAAGAATGAGAAATTTGTTGAATTTTACTCAGTGTTCTATAATTCCACAGAAAGTCAACTTACATCTGTTGCATATTCCACAGTTGCAAGGGGAATCCATAAAACTCCCAAAATGCTATCCCAGAGCAAACCTTTCTTCCACAGCTCTACAAGGAAACCCTTTCCATCAGCACAGATTTCACTAAAAAGAATGAATATAGGAACCATTAAACTGAATCTGAAAACGCAGTTTCAACTGCTCAGTAATCTATAATAATAAATTAGTGACTTACAGGAGATACAGAGGTGGTTTTTTTCCTATATAGTCATAAAATAGTAGGCAGTGGTGTCTCTGCTGTGACTGATTGCACATAATCTTCATTTGACCGAATTAATTTGTATTAAAATAATCTTCAAGTTACTGTGTGGTGAACCACAGAGAATTACTGTGTACTGAAAGTTATCAGGAAAAGAACAAATGAAATCTGAGAAGGGCAAGGGCTGCCACCTCTGAGACAACTTTTTAACTCATCACATGGCTCTCAAAAATCATTATGTTGACTGCATCAATGTCTACTTTTCTGCTGTATTCATGCAGTTGAATAGATTCATTGAATTTTTGTTTTGCCCTGCTTCTCTCTTTATAAACATGTTATGGAAGACAGATTGTAAATTTTTAGACCCCAGCTTTAAAACTGTTGCACCGGCAACAATGAAAGTGCAGACTGAAAGGTTAAAAAATATGCAATTTTTAAAATGCAAGCTGGTAATATCTGTGTGTAAAAGAACATAGTTTTTACTGTGAGAGATGGAGTGACAGCCCTTAAGAAAATGAACTACAGTATGACTCACCAAAGTCTACTTAAATGTATTTGTAAATGCCTACTTTTAATCCCTTTTAAAAGTCTGCTGTGTTGTATAGATGAGCAGGCAGTAGATGGAGCTACAGCAACCTTGTAACATGCTAGAAAAGTGCTTTAGTATTTTTTGGCAAGATTTACATTGCCAACTGAGAAAATAATCCTAATACATTGCACATTTTCAATGATATCATGCAACACTCATTTACATATAATATGATAAAAAGAAAATCTTTTAAACAACAGCAAAGCAAATGTATTAACTAATATTTTGACACATTCTTCAGGTAACCAGAAAGTACTAAAAAAGTCATTCAAAACAACTAATGTGTCTGACAAAATATTAAAATACTTGGATTAGAAAATACCCAAAACTGTCATAATGACATTTTTTCATAAGAACTACAGCAAATTAAATGTTGAATTCTGCAAAAATATTTCAACCAACTCTAGACCTCAGGAATTAAATTTATGTTCCCACAACAGGAATGTGGTGACAGAGAAAGATTTGTGCAGGGAAAAAGAAGGGACCAAAAATGGTGGAGATTAATATGCTAAATCAGGATCTAATTAGATTATATTCACTGGGTTTAACTGCTTTGGAACTGACAGTTGGAAGCAGATTTCCTCAGAATGTCAGGCAGTATATAAATGCTTGGACCTCCTGACCAGTGAGGTGTGTAGAAGGCTCTAGAGAAAAGAGGACAATAACAACAGAGTAACAAGATGGAGAGCTGAGTGAAGCAGACAAAGATCTGCAGACAGAAGTGAGAAAGAGCAGGGGTCAGTATTAAAGCAACTACCTAAGTCGGCAGCTGAGGAGATAAATTAATGCATAAAATATGAGTCACACCAAAAGGAAATGGAGTGAACAAAAATCAAGTTGCTTGAGGATCAATTTGAGTTCTCTTTGTTCTCATTCCTGTATTCCTACAACATTATATTAAATTAAATTCAGAGACAAATTCTTCCCCTTGTTGGTCCTGGCCTTGATCTGCAATGTACCTTGCAAAATTAACTTTAGTTCTGTTCTCCAGGGCTAGTCTGCACCTTTTCTCTGAGCTGGATACTTTTTCCTTGCTTCTGAGTGGTCTGTACATGGCCTTGCATGTACTAAACTGTTCTAAACTATACAAATAAAACAAAGATACAACAAAATCAATTGATAAGAATTCCCTGTTACTTACAACATGAAGTCTTGTTCCCAGCAAGGGTCACTTCCTCGTCTGTCGATTGTAGTGCTTTTCAAATTTTGGACTTTTAAAACAACGTAGGTTTTGGATGCATCTGAAAAATAAATAACCAGCACATTAAACCTCACTTTTGTTCTTTCCAAAAACTGGAAACATATAGTCCCAAGGCAGTAAGGGTTTTAATTTTTACTCCATACAAAACATTTAGAGGTGTGGTTCCAATATGTGGATTTGAACAAGAAAATTCTTATTAATTCTAATGGGATTATGCCAGAAAAATCTCTGCCCCTGACAGGTGAGAGAGAACATCTCACTGAATGTATTTTAAAGATCAGCTTCCAGACAGGGCTTTTTACTGTTTATCAATCTCCCTGACAGCTCTTGCATGAAACCAGCATGCAACTCTTTTTCTGAAAATTAGGACTTTCTTTGCCTTTCCATTGCTATGATAATATTGATGATTGGCTGATGGGTTTTTATGTCCAATTAAGGCAAGGCCACAGACTTGTAATATGTAATTCAGTCTTGGTGCATGAATCTAGTTCTGTTATAGACGCAGCAGCAAAATGGGTTTCAGATGCAGCCCCAAATGAACTCATACATTTCTGTAAATACCTTTGTAAAAGCACAGTATGAGTATTCATAAATTGGACCCAATCAGCAAAAAGAATACAATTTTAAAAATTTCAAAGGACTTGAAAATATCACTGCCAGAAAAAAGCAAAAGAACTGAGGGAAAGCTCTATCCTGTAGGGCCTCATACAGGAATCTAAGGTGGTAAAAGGCGTATTATATCATCTTAATGAATGTGGCTTTTTAGCTTGCATGCAGGTAACACATCCTTCACTACCCTCCAGCATCCTAGATAATGATCAACATTGACATAAGACTGAAAAAACTTTTTTTTTTTTTTGATAGAACTACTGCCAAAATATATACCCAAGAGGTAGCTCAGAACAGAATTTTTGAGCTGTGTGTTTTACCACAGGTCAATCAAACAGTCTGAGTTACAGGGAAGGTGTCAATGTCTACAACAGATTACTGAATAGGTTGTATCAAATTACACTGCAGTTAACAAAAAGTGTGAAGGAGAAGAGTTAGCTGTGTACATCCTGTATGTAGATCTTATTGATTAGAACTGATTATAATGTTTGACCAAAGGACAAAAGATATCATGTAACAGGAACTATTCTGTTCAATAAACACATTCAACAGTGGCCAATGTTATCTATTTATTTTCTATAATTCAGTGCACCAGTCCTCTCAAACAGGACTTTGCTTTTTAGCTGCAACTCAAGGTTTGAGAAATTTTCAAAAGAATTCTAAATGACTTGGCTGAAAAATAGCAACCCACAGTCTTTAACTTCAGCCATTTAGAGCACCCATGTAAATTAAAACTACAATAACCAACCTCCCTCATAATTAAAACATATGTCCCTTAAATGAAGCTATAAGTGACAAGATAGAAACTTAAAGACACATTTTAGTGGTAGTCTGTTTCATTATACTATTATCTTTATATTCAACTGTAATTTCACGGACCAGACGAGGTGACCAAACTTAATCACCTTGTATCTTTCCCCACCTTCTTTTCTATCACAAAAATTAAAAATATTTTGGACTGCTTGCATTATTGTCTTGTCTGAAACCCTGCCATTTGTTTTTTAAAAGAGCTATTTTTCCAGTAGTTCCTTGTCTTCTTTGGCTCTTCTCTAGATCTAAATATTACCCTTCAGTGCTTTAGGACTAATTCACCTCTAGATGTCATGAGTTGTGTCAAGTAAGAAAAAGATACTCTACCTCGTAAATAACTGTGAGTATATAACCTCCCTGAGGAATAACACTGCTCAGGGTGAATATTATTAAAATACCCTGGCAGCAGAAAGGAGCTGTCAATTTTGCAGTTTTGTTTCCATGAAGCCATTATTGCGGCTCCCAAACCTTTCAGCTGTCAAAAAACAGAGGCATGTAGTGCAATTTTTTGTCAAACAGCAGGTTATCCACTTGCTCAAACCTTCAGCTTTCAACCCAGAGCAGAGCACAGCAACTTCATAGCAGTTTACACAAAGGAGTAAATAAACTACAGGATAATCACGGAATTTTGAGAAACATGAGGGCATTTCAAGGCTGCTCTTGGTCACCACCTGCATAATGGTTCTGCCCAAGAAAACATTATCAGAGAATACACCATTCAAATTTTATTGCCATTATTTATGGTGTTAACAAGTCTTCAACAGCACTCAAAAGAAACTTGAAACTACATCTCTTTTATCAAATTATTCTGTTTGACAGTCATATTCTGTACATTATCACCTCTTTTGAGCATCAACAAAATATGAGATTTGCTGAACTCTGCAGAACATTTTTCTGACTGCATTAGGGTTTCAATGAGAAAGAGAAGATTCTTCAGTCCATACTTTGTACAAAGATTTCACAGCCTGCTGTTAGAAGTGTCAAGAACAAACAGCTTGATCTGTGCCCATTCAGGTTACCTTTCTTTAATTCAAATAACTTTAAACAACTTGTATTTGCTTAAATGTATTAACCAGCAAATTTTGCTGCACTGATTTGGTTGTATATCAGCTTCTCCTGAGAACTAGTAATTACAAAGGTCTTGAAGGCCTTAAATTTATAGTCCACCTCTGTGTGAGAAACCTCTGGCTGAGTTCAGACTTTCTTTTCCATCCTGGCTAAATCTTGGTCCTGGAAACAGAGAGTTCTGGGCAGCTTGGTTTTGCTCATATTTATTGGCTGGGGCACACACCTGATCTCTGTAACTGTCCATCACTATCTCCAACCTGTATTTCCTCTCTGGGAAAATTCAGACACAATCTCCAACTGTCTGAGGCCACAACCTTGTAAAGATAATTTGATCTCTAAAACATATGTATAATCTTTAATTCTTTCCACATTTATACATTTTTATTGAACTGTTGATCAAATATATTAAAGTAGTCCCAAGCTTAGGTGATTCTTTAGTGTGACACAGACAAGAATGCCTAAGAAAGAAAAATGTAAAGCAGAAATTGAAAGGGAAATTAAACTTACCAGTCATTTTATCCAGCCTTCCTTTTTTCACTGTATTAAAAAAGAAAATATATATTATTTTCAGATAATACCTTAACAATGCTTGCCAATGGATTTTATGGAAAATAAAATCTAAAGGACTTATGTGGTATAAAAAACCTCAATCAAAAATGAAAACAAGTAATCTTCAAAAAATATAAACATCATTGTGGGACAGTAATATGATTTCTTGGAATTCTTTGGGAAAGAGAACACGTGAAAACTCTTTGCACCTTACAAGAACTTAATAAATACATGGATACAACCCAGAGGGCAGAATGAAGAGCAGGTGTCCAGGAAGGGTAGTGTGCTATTCATCACCTCTTAATGCTAGTTCAAAATTCTTCCCAATAGATACAGATGACTCACAGACTGTATATAACCTAAAGTAGCTTCTATCATCTTACAAAGAGTCCTTTATTACATTGTATTTACTCTGGCTGTTAGAAAGGATGCACTTCAGTAAATACCTTACCAAACAAAAAGTGAACATTTCAAATCCTGATTTTGCTCAGCAACCTTATGTTTCAAACTAAGGTATCTCTTCCATTAATGAAAAATGCCCCGAAATTAATAGGATTGGGATTCATATAATCATAATTATGAAGATCTAACCTGGTCATAATTTTTTATTTCACTCCTAAAGTTCATTAAATTTAGACTTTTAAACAATATAACTAAATATTCTTTAAATTTTCCTGCCATATCAATGCATGTAAGACAGTTTGGTTTGAGTGAAACATCACTGCAGTCCTACAATAATTGAACAAACTCCAGCAATAAACTAATGTATACATGATATATTTCACTGCTACACTTAGGACAGTAGTAATTGCCAATAAAACAAGAAGTCCACAACTTTACAATGCAAAGGTTCCCAAAAGCTTGCCACTGTTTTCCAACATCCTTTCCACTTGCTTAACCTCACCTACCTTCCTATTACTTATTTTTGCTTTCATCTCTCCCTGAACTTCCCTAAGAATGCCATGGAATTGCACCACATTTGCAGACTGTTCGTCTGACAGCCTGAACGATTCCCCCACTGTCACAGCGAGAAAGCTTCACTTTCCACACAAATGGTGAGGGGCCAAAATGGTGCTGAGCTACCAGCAGAGTCTAAACACTGCAGCAGCTCAACTGCACTGCAAGAGTGCAGAATTTACACACTGCATTTACTTGACTTCCCTGGAAGGAAGTACTGCAAGAAATATTCTTATCAGCTTAAACAATGCACATCTCCAGTCTATGAGGTTACTTTTTATAGCCACGTACTAAATATTTGTCACATGGGTGAAGGAGCTTCTACGAGAAGAAAAACCTACCTTTCACAGAGAGAAGTTCCATTTCAGTAGAAAAATATTTTAAAGAACACGCATTGAAACTCAGTTTTTTCTTCACAAGAGGAAAAGAAATAGTTTGGCTTGAATTAAATGACTCTTCTGCTGCTGTTCCCTCACTGCAAGTGTGTTTCACTTTTGCTGCTCGCTCCTCCCATGTTTCTCATGGAGCAAAGCCAATCAATTGATGGAGCAGTAAAATACTGACGACAAATTCCTTCTCCCTCTCTACACACAGAGAGGGAAGAGGAAAAGAGAAATATTATAACTGTTCGCTTACCCTCATTTCCTCACCCTCATTTCCTCAACTTCTATCTGCTCTATGCAGCTGTCTCCAGTCTAAACAAATTTCTGAATGCCATCTTTCCCAGAAATAAGAAACTCAGTGCAACTATTTCATTAAGGACACACTTTTGGAGATCTGACACTTTGATTTTAATACTTGCAAAGCATCTGAATTGGAATACAGAAAGTTCATGGGTTTTTTATCTTTTAATACAATCACATAGCCAGAACACATATTTTACAGTATTTGCTAGAGCTAGGCATAAGTAGCCTTAATTTTCTAAAATAGTGTGAATAAATCTTGCACAAAAAGTTGGATTTTATTATACTTCATGAATTTCTAATTCTATTGCAGCAGTTCATAGGATTGTAAATGTTGTCATAAAATGTTAAAATATTTTACAACAATACTCAAAACACTGAAATTATCATAAAAATAGTGGTGTTTACAACTAGTTGTTCAGATTAATACTGGGGTTTGTTGTTTGTTTGTTTTTAATTGTGGTTAACAGTATATATATTTCCAGAGATATATAGTATTTTTATATAATTTTCTCCATTATATTATAATTGAATACTTAGGTCTTAAATCCAAGTAAGGAAGTGTCCTTGGAGTAGAGGGGAGTGCATATATCTGAGTTAAGGAGTGGCTGTCTGAAGCCCCAAGAAACTGGGTCTGGAGGAAGGCACACCTCAAAAGATAAATGAGAGCTGAGACTGGTTGGCCTGGCCAGGAGAAACCTTTGGGAGGTAGGATGGGTTTAATCAATGTTTATAAAAACCTGACGGGAGGGTGTAAACAAGACTGACTCTTGTGATTGTTGCCTAACAACAGGTGAACAGGCAATGGGCACAAACTGAAACTCACAGTTTCACCGGAACATAAGAAAAGTCTCTTTTTCCTGTGAGGGTATTTTAAGACTAAAATAGGTTGTCCAGAGAGGATGTGGACTCTTTTTGTCCTTGGAGATACCCACAACCTGACTGAACAAAACTCTGGGCAACCTGCTCTTACTGACCCTGTTTTGAGCAGGGATGTTGGACTAGATGGTATTGAGAGTTTCTTTGTGATTCTGTGATAGTTCACAAGGTCAAACTGTTAAGTGTGACTGAAGAAAATGTAGTTCAGGACATCACTATGCGTAATATGTGTAGAGTTTTTTCCCCTCCATAGAAGTGTCATAAGAAGTACCTATGTTGTTTCAGGATCATGCTACTATGCCATAATCTGAAGTTGTCAGCATATTACGTTTTGGTCTTGTGTTTTAGATGAATATATTTGCATCTCTCTCTTCTGAATTCTGTTCTGATCAAGTCTCCCACAACAGTGTGATACTCTTAGAGACAGGTTTCCACCTTATGCAAGCAATGGAGTTCCACTGTAGTTAACAAAGCTAGTCTGGTACACACTGGCTGAGAAATTATCCCAAACTGTGTATTGGGATCACATGAAAAAAAATATTTACTTAGAACAAAAATCTAATCGCTGCTGACTTAAGATTCAGTAAATAGAGTTCACAATAAGCCTTAGCATGAATCAAAGTTACACAGCTGCATCTGAAACTGTCTCTGAAACTGTACAAACTTGACTCTTCTTCCTTTCTTCCACTCCCTTCCTCAAATATCAGGGCCCTTCCTGTGGAATTTTCTCCTTGAATTCTTGGGTTGCAGCTGCAGCAGCAGCAGCAGCAGCAATTGTGGCTCATTTACTTTACTGTGATGCCATGGCTGCTTTTTACATAAGCTACTGGGAAAGATGTTATGACTTTATGGTAAGAAATATGCAGAGAATACCTGAACATAGGCAGAAGGTCACCGTGGACTCAGAACGGTGCATGTACAAATGCTCTTTCATTTGGAAAAAGCATTTATTATATTTAACAAAGGAATAGTGAAAAGCACTGAGCTGGAACAAGCTGTCAAGATGGTGTTTGGCTAAAGGGCATAAGAGTAGAGGCTGCAGTACAACATGCACGTGTCACCAGCTGATAGTCTCAGTACCTCAGTTAATTACCCTGTTACTCAGCCAGGCCTTCCTCAGTGTTTTCCCTTTTCCATATTACAATTCCCTATTAATGCCTGATATAACACTTCAACCCTATATGTTAACTTCAGTTAAAAGGTCTCAGCATTCCAGATCTATATACAGAATCAAGAATTTAGAAAGAAATTTGAAAAAAAAAAGGAGCAAAATTGTTTACATTGCATTTTTTACCTAAACTATTTCAAGACTGCCTATAGTGACTTCGCTCTATTCAATATGTTATAACAATATGTGTAACAATGCTGTTATGTACAGATGTGTCACCTGAGACCTGACACTGTTGAGTGATCAGCTTCCAAAAGAGCTACCTAATTATTTTCCAAGCCAAATTCTCAACTGATATGAGGATGATATGATTCTTTTCATTTGTGAGCATACTTTTTTTTTAGTGAGGATCTGCCTTTTTTTTATTTAACTTCTTTTTTTAATATGAATTCACATAGCATACATTAGCAGATTAAAGCCTGCCACCATCTTCCAGTTAATTCATCAAAAGCAAGGAGATTTCACTCTGATGATTTACCTACTTGGCAGCAAAACTACATATTGTTCTTTTCAGGAAGTTTCTTGTCTACAGGATACTCGTAATGCAATAACTAAGGTCATGTACTCATAGATTTTAATATAACATGTTGCAAAAGGAAAACAAGGAACAGAGAACATTGGAATACTGATTGCAAAAGAACGTGGAAGACAACTTCTAACTTTCACAGGGAAAGGAAGACAGCCTACTGCTGTTTTAATATATATATCAGTTATGGAAGAGAATATTAAAAAATAAGCTTGGTGAGAAAAAAATATCCAAATTTCAGTTGATATTAAAAATACAGAGTATAGGAGCAGTTTCCTTGCATGCCCTACTTTTCTGTCTGAGACCATCATGAAGCCATCTTTTCTTGGCTATTTTTATGCTGACCCATGTGTATTTTTAAAGAGGTTTTGGCCTTGGAACACCAACATTTTAGCTATTTTTCTTCTGAAGTTCTTCTCTTGAGGAGAAAGAGAATTTGCTCCTTTGCAAATTATTATAGACAGTGAAATTTTCAGCTGATCATTCATCAGCATCTCCTCAACACTAGCACATGAAGAAATACTTCAGTCACCTCAGAAGCCTAAGTGATAAAGTGTATTTTTGCGTTCCCCTTGAAGTCAATCATTAGTTTAAAATTGGAGCTAGTGGGAGAAGATTTTTGTCTATTACAAGGAAAAAATTATGCACAATTCAGGTAAAATTCAAAGATAAATAGCTATATTATCATTATGGTGATCCTTTAAACACACAAAGCTGAAACCCATGAACAGGAGTTCAACCACGACAGCAAGAAAAAAAAAATCACTTTTC